TTACGTGCTAGCATGATATGATGTTACATGATGATGGTAGTAGTAGGGGGAGATAGTCCCCAAGTTACCGGCCGATAGGGCCGAAGGGGGTAGTTTAGTACCTAGCTATGTTAGATTATGATTACGTGACTGTATGTGATAGACCGGTCGAGAGGGCCGAAGGGGTAGGCCAGCACCCAGATATGCTAGGCAAGGTCACCGGTCGAGAGGACCGAAGGGGGTATGCCAGCACCCAGATATGCTAGGCAAGGTCACCGGTCTACAGGACTGAAGGGGTAGGTCGGGCACCCAGATATGCCTGGCAGTATGTATGTTATGTGTTTGTATGGTATGTGGTATGATGGGGGAACTCACTAAGCTTCGTGCTTACAGTTTTTAGATTTGTTTCAGGTACCTCTTCAGCGAAGGGGAAGGAGCCGGCGCGGTAGCGGCACATCACACTCACGCATGATTTCCGCATTGAGTTTTCTAGGATTGTACTCTGATTATTACTATTATCCGATGATATGTTTTTGAGACACGACGTAATGGTTTTATGAAATAATATAATCTTAGCAATGTTTGATAAATGATTTCACATGATTACTTAATTAAAAATGAAATTTTTAGCCTTGAAAATTAGGATGTTACACCAACACTAAAAAGTGACAAAGAACCATCATGGAAATGGCTAGATCTCTTGCATGGCTTCATAAAAGCCTCAAAGCTTGCAACTTTACAGCTAAAGGAACACATTGAGCTTCAAGGGAGGCAACCCTAAGTTCAAAAACGGAGTTGCATGGTTAAGATCAAATCTTTGGATCTAAAAAGGTCCAAATCTTCAAAACCCTAGATCTATGATTCAAGAAGGAAATATAGGAGCTTTATACCTCCCTTGAGTGCCCAAAGGTGAACTTGTTCCATATCCTTGAGCTCAAGATACTCAAGTGCTTCTTCCTTCAACCTTGCTTCACTTCTTCCAAGCCCTTCTTCACCAAAATAAACTCAAGAGGTTAAGCACACAAAGAAATGGAGTAAGGGACGAACTAGGGTTTCCTGAGAGCGAGGGACAGGTGAGGAGGCCTTGGGGGAGGCTATAATGGGGTTTATATATGTCTTAAACCCTGAAAATTAGGGTTTGACATCTGCCCGCGTACGCTGCGTGTACGCCCCCGAGTCTCGCGCATCCAATGCGATTACTACGCCCCGCGTACGCCGGGTTACGCCCCGCGTACGGCTTATGGGCATCCCACTCCTTGGCCCAATCTTCAAAGGTTCATTCCAAAAGGGACCATTGCCCAACATAAGCCCAAAACCAATATTAATTTGCATAATCAATTGATACCTCGAGAGATGGATGTTACAGAGGCCTTGGACGAAATCTATAGGGCTCCCTATAGGATTTCGTCCACTCCTAATTTAGGAGTCCAATAGCCCAGTTCTGCAACTATCAATGATTTCCAAAACAGCCCCTCCATTATTAATCAATTCCTTTAATCCCAAAATTAATATCAAATTAATTTTTGATTAATCACCAACTAATAATATGATTTCTAAATAATATATTAATCTTATAATATATTAATAAAATCATTTGAGTACCAATTTATTATTTCACATAATAAATTCTACTTTCTCTCCACTAGTCATATTATCAAGTTGCATGAGTGAAGGCAACCCAAAAGGACCATCTTACATATCAAATCAAATACATACCAATAATAGTTATGGACTTAGACACCTAATCCAACAGTAGAGGCATTAGGAGTTCGATTATTTACGAAGAAAACCCTTCCAAGAACCCTTGGAGGGCAGAATTCACTAGAGATCAAAGGATAAAGAGATTGGAGCAATGATTCACACATATTCATTCAGTTTGCCTAGTTTAATAATGTTTGGCCTAGTTTTCCTTTTGTTTGTGTGTTTTCCAGCTGTAATTATGGGTTAATAACCCTTTCTTTCAATTATATTAGATGAACTCTTAATTAAAATGTGTTGATTTCTTGTTTGATGGATTGATGAAGTTAGTTTTGCTTTAAATATTGTTTGACAAATCTAAACCTAGCTTGTTAAAGTTTCTATCTTTATTGCCTTGCATCAAGATTGTGCAGTTAAACTACAGTTAATTGCATGAACTTGATTTACCTAGTTGTTTATGATCATTAAATATCTAGAGCTATAGATTGACCATATCTAGTATAGGTGATAAGTTAGTTACTTAACTCTGTTAGAGAGCATTATTTGATCATAAATATTTGCTTGATTACTAAACTTGACCATAGAATAGTAGTCTGTAGATTCTATCATTCAAAGACCAAATTACCTTTAAAATCAATTTAGTGTCCTTAACTTGCATGATCATTGGGGTTAAAGTTATTGAATTGACTTATGCTAGTCAGTCTGATCATGATGACTAGTAGCTTTTATTTGGTAACTAACGGAATTAATCTATTGTCTTGAAATCAACCATAGGAAACAAGAGGGATTCGAAGCTAAACGAAAGTATCCTTTATTCTTGATTTAAAGTTGTCTTTCTTGTTGTTTACTTTAGTAATTAGTTGAGTATTTCAAGTAAATTAATCTGAACTTGTAAAATCAGATAAAAACACCACCTTTAGTTGTTTTTCCTATTTTAGCTTTTAGTACTTTTTTTATTAATTAAATACCGTTCCCTGTGATCGACACCCGACTTACCCAAGCTATTCTATAATCTGATTAGGTACACTGCCTATAAGTGCATAATTTAGCTAAGTAGTTAGGTTTATAAATTTAAAGCTAGATAGGTATATAAAGTGCACATCAGTAACATATACTAAAAGTTTTGGACCTCTGTAAGGGATGACTACTTGGTGATCGCCCTTTTTTGCCCACTGTTTGAGGTGAGCCTGCATCATGTCATCATGTAAAGTTAAAATTTTATAACTTTTAGGAGAAGCAATAACAACTTGGAAATGTTGCTACATTAGGAGGTCACCATATAAGAAATTAATTTCCCAAATCCATGTAACTTGGAGAATACATTTCTAGTTGTTACATGATTGGTTGCATCATTAAGAAATATTAAAATAATTAGAAATAATGTACATGATGTTGGAAACCATTTTAACTAAGTTCGTATCTGGTTTCAAAATCAACAGAATCGGGTGATTAGTTCCGTCTATGCTGCTCACTCATACTGAAAACACCGGGACTTTATTATTATTATTTTTTGGCTTGTCATTCTTATTGCTATGATGTGAATTTTGAAGATGACCTTATCAAAGGAAAATCATGGTTATTACAGATCCTCTACATGCCTATAATCATTAGTACGCAACAGCCTGTCATTATCCATCATTTTTTGACTACTAATGGTTGATTAGTCATTTTAATATGTTTGTTGGCGTTTTCTTGCATCATTAAGATTTCAAAGTCCTTAGTTTCATCTTTTTTTCCCTTTACATATTCTAAAATATACTCGATATTTTCCTTTTCACAATCTTCCAACTGTATGATAATATTTTTAAGCTGCTTGACATTGTCTTGTATCACTAAAAAAAGAAGTAGGGAATTAGATACTTCTTGTACACGAAATCAATTATTATTTCACAATATGATCCTACTTTGTTACACAACATTTCACAAAATATCTATCATTTGTAAGATAACTCTACAAGTAGAAAATCAAAATGATAACAAGATTAAACTCAAAATTAAATTGATTTACAAGTTTTTAGTTGTGTAAATTATCATTGTATTGACATACAACAATTTCATAAGACATGCCACATTCAATAAATGTATACACGAGTGATGTTTTAGAATAAATTACACTCATTTGTTGGTTTTTGATTGTCTAGATCGATTACCATATGATTTACCATGTAACATGTGCAAAAAACCATATTGATGTTTTACGATCTAATACATATTTTTGAACAACATAAGAATTTTCTTGCATCAACACCCATGAAATGAATTTAAAAGTTTATTTGATGGTGATGTAGTTTAATCATTCATTAAAAAACATATACGAAAATATGACGACTACAACAATTCATGAAAAGATACTACTATCCATATCAAAGAAAGGATATCGGTCAAACACTTTTCAAAAAGAAAATGTTTCAAACTTATGTTATAGAAGGATGGAACCTTTATGCTATTTCTTAAATTTATAAAGAACAATTCAAATGATTCAACTTAATAATTTTTGGTGAGCATATATATATATATATATATATATATATATATATATATATATATATATATATTATATATATATATATATATAGGGAAGGGTTATTTGGAAAACAAAAAAACCCTAAAAATCATAAAAATCATAAAAATGCATAAAAAAAATACTTAGAGATCACAAATTTTTTTTTTGAAAATTTTTTTGAAAAAATCGTAGTTTTTTATACAAAATCGGTGAAAAAAATTTTGAAATTTTTTTTTTTTACAAAAAAAAAAAAAAATTGATTTTTTTTTTTTTTTTTCAGCGAATTTTAACAAAAACCTACGATTTTTTATAAAAAAAATTCAAAAATATTTTTTGTGATCTCTAAGTATTTTTTTTATGCATTTTTAGGGTTTTTTTTTTTTTTTTTTTTTTGTTTTCCATGTAACCTAAACCTATATATATATATATATATATATATATATATATATATATATATATATAAAGTTTATTAGAAAATGTAAACTTGTCAATTTGCAATTTGTTTCTTAAGATCATTTTGAGATAAAATTATAACTAACATTATTATTTTATAATATTTAATACTCTATTTAAAATGGATTAAAAATGCAATAATAAGGGCATTTTGGTATTTGACTAAAAGGTTTTCATTTTATGTGTGTTGGAAATGAGTACGGAGAATAAGAAATAGGATTGATTTAATTCTTAACGGCAGAGGGGCATGTCTTCCCTTCTCCACTCCATTACCAACTCCTCTCACATTCATTATTTCATTTTTTTCAAAACACACACACTCACTCACACTCTCTCTCTCTCTCTCTCTCTCTCTCTCTCTCTCTCTCTCTCGTGCTTCAAGGTCTTCTTCCCTCATCCAAGACCTTTACATCTTTCAAAAATTGAAGCCATCAAAACCCTAAATTACAATCTTACGCTTTACCAATGACTTCGTTTTTCTTAAAAGCAGCAAAACAATAGATGTGATCTAAGAATGGGATTCGGAGGAGACGATTGAATTATATCTTCACTTATTGATTTGGTAAGTCCGGGTAGTAATTGTGTAGTTGAATTTCTTCTCATTTTTGTTTTAGTGACATTACGAGCAGGATAATGACGTTGATGTGAAACTGTAAATCTGTAACTGATTCAACTTGTCGTTTCCCTCCAGTCCATCACATCTTTGATTTGTCATTGTCAACCCTAATTTTCTCAAAATGAAAAATCGAGGCGGTGTTTGTTAGCAGTTACAGTCGCTACATTATTTTGGTGGTAATTGTCGTACTAATTTTGAAATCTGAACAAACGGAAAATAGCTATTTTGAAATTTAGATCCTGAACTTAGGTTTACTGTGTGTTCTGGAGGAGTATCAAATAGGTTCATAATGTATGGATTTGGAATTTTTGCTTTTGCATACTAGGTATTGTTTATTTTAGCAGCTCAATGAGCAACTTGGACTTATCTTAGCTACGATTTTGCAAATGAGTCGTACTTAATTATTTCCTGATGCTAGCAAATGTCCAACACCTCATGTTCTAGTTAGCATTTAGCTTAGAGGTTAGAATATTTTGCTTCTAAGACCGAAGAGGGTTTTGACTTTTGATATGGGGTGTTAGATCGAAGATAAGAAGTTATTATTATTATTTTTTCATTCTTTTCTATGATTTTACACTTTGTAGTACTGTCTGATTGACTTATTGATTGCTGCTCTTACATCTCAGGTCCGGCTTTCTGGATTTCTGTTTGTTGTTTGATAAATTATATTCCAATCATATATGAGAAGATGGAAGTTGAGAAACGAAGTTCAAAGGGAGGGTTTCTTCAGTTGTTTGATTGGAATGCCAAATCTCGGAAGAAACTCTTCTCAAATAAACCGGATTTACCAGGTAACTGACATTACAAAATGCTAATTTTATTGCTTTCCTGTAACTCAGTGCTTTATCCATGCTTCATACTAATATCTAATGGTTCAATGTCACACAGAAAGTTCAAAACAAGGAAAAGAAAACTTAGACAATTTGGCTACATCAAGGCTTCAACAGGTACAATCAAAGTTAGTTTTTCATGGTTTCAATTCTTCTGATTATTAAACTTTGACATGTGTATGATGTGAATGTATGTAGATGAAGCTACATGAGAGCATGCATGGTTCAAGTCTAATAGGAAATGATTGGGATTCATCCATGAATAATGATGAAGGATGTGGAACAAAAGCCCCTGGGGTGGTGGCTAGACTTATGGGATTAGATTCTTTACCAACTTTAGACACTTCTGACCCTGGTTTTACTCCATTTATTGACTCCCAGTCTTTTAGACATTCATATAACCCAAGATTGACCACTGAATTTGAAACTGAGCACAATTTTGTAAACTATGGCATGAGAAATAAACTGGATGGTTTTTCAAGAAACCCGGTTGAAGATAGATTACAAAAATTACAAAATCGCCCGATTGAAAGATTTAAAACTGAAGCATTACCTCCAAAATCAGCTAAATCTGTACCTATTTCACACCACAGAATGTTATCTCCCATCAAAAGTCCTGGATTCATCCTTTCAAAAAATGCTGCTTATATTATGGAAACAGCTTCTAAGATGATTGAACAAAGTCCCCAGTCAACTCTCGGTCAAAGATCCCCATCTTTTAGGTCTTCTTCTATCCCCTTAAGAATCCGTGATCTAAAAGAGAAAATGGAAGCTGCACAAAGAACACCCAAATCACACACCCCTGTGACTGTGAATTCCTCTAAATCACAAAGAAAATGTCGGACTGAAATTGTGGTTTTAAAGCAAAGTGCTCCAGGAAGTTTGAAGAACAAGAATAAATCTGTTATTCCACCTGCTACCCCTTTGAAAACAGATAAATTAGAGGGAACCACTTCAAGAAATAGTAGGATTCCCATGAAGCAAAAAGAAGATTTGGAAAAGAAACAAAGGAACACACCAAAAAAGGTGCATATTCATAATAATAGATCAACAACAACAGGTAAAAGTAAAACCAATGAAGTGCTTACACAAAACAATCAAAAGCAAAACTGTGCATCTAATAAAGATCGATCAAGTCTAAAACCTAAGGTTCCTTACCAAAATAAACCAAAGAAGGGTGTTGAAGCTTCTAGAAAGGAATTGTTGCCAAAAACAAAGGGTATTTCTGGGAAGAAAAGGCCAACTGATGGGGATACTACTAACACTGTAATGATCAAGGAAAAAGAAAGATCTGTAAAATGTAATATATCTATTGATGGATCTTCAAATTGGGAGTCTGTTGACATGAAAAATGGGATGGATGTTGTGTCATTTACGTTTACTTCACCTATCAAGAAACCTGAATCTGAGTCATGTGGTCAATCAGGAATGAAGAAAAGAGGGTTGAGTCTTAAGTTTGATGATCAAATTGATTTGGGCACTTCAAAGCTTCCTACTTTTGGGACACCCATGATTGATAGTGATGCTTTGAGTGTTTTATTGGAACAGAAACTGAAGGAATTAAGTTGTTTAGTTGAAACATCTCAATCTGACATTGTCAATGAAGGGTCTTCTCCAAATTCTGATAAAAATGATAACAATATGCAGAAGGACAAGGGTATCATCCAAGATGACTGTGATAAACCGGAGTGGCAGGTATATTTATTAAAAAGACTCAAATACCCTTTTGACCTCATAAAATTAGAAATGCTGCATGTTAGGTCTATTGAAAATTCCAATTTGTGTAGAGTTACATTATATCAGAGCCAGATAGACATGAAATGTAATAATTGCATAATTTAACAAGTAATACTAGTCTAATTAATAAACAAATTTAAATTTACCCATAATATTAAAAACTTTTATATAAATAATGGAATTTATATCGAGGTCTTGTTTTATTTTTCAGGGTGTTGAAGTGAGAGAATGCAACAGTGATGAGAGTGGGACAACAACATTAACAAGCAATTGCATAACTTCCAACAGCACAACCACCTTAACTAGCAATGGTAAGATTCTGATGGAATTGGAATTCAAGATTCCATTCCGTAGCGTGTTTGGTTGTCAAATGGACGGAATTCAATTCCGTAGGACTTCATATTTTTACCATCACACACACTCCACAATCCTTCAAAAGGCTCTGTTTGGTTCGTGGATTCCGACGGAATTGGAATTCATGATTCCATTCCATGGTGTATTGACGGAATTCAATTCCGTTAGAATCCTCAAAATTCCATGTACGATGGATTTCACCATTCTTACGCGAGGGGGTAGAAGAAATTCAATTTCACTCTTCCCTTTTAAAAAAAGACCAAAATACCCTCATTATAAATATATAATACAATGAACAAATTTAACGAATTATATAAATGCTTCTTTTCAGGAAACAAGGAGTATCCTTACACAAGAAACATGGAACATTTAGCCGAGGAAATAGAATTGCAAGATTCCGCCACATCACTTCCCAATCCCAATTCCAACACCATATTCCAATTCACCTCAATGACAAAATGGTCCTCACAATGGGAATTGGAATACATCAAAAAAGTACTTACCCACGCCGAATTGCTCCTCGACCAAAAGGGCATAAACGTCAATTTATACGATCATTTAGAGACCCACAACAACAAAAACATGGACCCGTATTTGAAAGTACAACGAAAGGCTATTTTCGACTGTGTGAGTTTATGCGTGGATGGTAGACGCGAACGTGCTTTCAATGGAAGCTATGAGGAATGGGCAAAATGGTCATTGCAGGTAAAAAAGAAGGAATTGTTGGCGGATGACATATGGAAGGAGATATGTGGGTGGACAAACATGGAGGAGATGGAGGTGGATGAGGTGGTGGAGAAGGACATGAGTAGTGGAGAAGGGAAATGGTTGGATTTTGAGATTGAAGCCTTGGAAGAAGGCATGCTGCTTGAAAACCATCTTTTAACTGCATTGATCGATGAAATAATAGTCGATTTTTTGCACTCTTGATTCCATGTTTAACTAATGTGTTTTTTAGCATTCTACTTTGTTGTAAAAAACTAAAAAAAAAAAAAATTATATTACTTGGTATGTCACCTATCAACCTTTTTTGAATCATATTATGCAAGTAAAATGGACAAATAGATTGACGTTTAGATTTCCTTGTAATTTCAAACACATTTGGTTAACGAGTGTAGTCTTTAGTGTTACATATTAAAACCGAACTCTTATGACATCCATCTAGCAGATTGTTGTATTTTTTTCATCTTACACTTGAAATTGTATTTTTGTATTCGACCCTCAACGACTTTAAGAAAGTTTCAATATCAATGTGGTTTTGACAACAAAGTAGAATGATGCTCTTAGGATAGTTTTGGAGAATTAGGCGAATTTTCTAGTCTCTACAATGTCATTTTTAAATTGGGCTCATCAGTTCCATACGACAGGCTGATGTGTCTGATTTACATATTATATTATGTTTTCGGGACAATATTTTTCCTAAAACAAACTTTTTAAATTTTCATTAGAAATTGAATTTTATATCAACTTTCTAAAAAGCTATTGTGTATTGGATATAGATTTATATGTTTCTTAAAAACGTGACAGATTGGAAAAATAATTTTTTTTTTCTATATATATATATATATATATATATATATATATATATATATATATATATATATATATATATATATATATATATATATAATTGGAGATGAAAAAACCAATAATGATGAATGAAACAAGATATCTGTGGGAGCCAGTTATATCCTGGCGAGGCATGTAAGTGGTCCATTTGCAACCACCACCAAACAGGATCCCTACTACTCTACTGTCTACTCTTCATTTTTCAATTCTTCCAACATTCAATGCCTACTGTCACCACGTTCTAATACATTTCTGGGATGTTTCATCCGTTCAATTTATTTCATTTTTAAATTTTGCATGGTTGACTATTTGGATGTAAAATATAATACTTTAAATCGATCATTTTCTAGATAAATTGATAAAAAAAACATTGTTGCATGTAGCTTTGGTTCATAAGCCTAACTTATTTGAATAATATAGATGTGTAAGTTGATATGTCATATGTTTGGTGGACCTTGGAATATGTAAAAACGACTATATGAGTGTGAAGTTGAACAATATGACATTAATGTATAATCCCAACGAAAGTTGCTACTTAATGGTTTGCACCAACTTGAAACAATGGGTGCCAACTGGGTCCTTAGGAGGTATTATGCAAATGTTGGTGGGCCTATAAATGAAGGAATTAGATCATTTAAAGTTTTGATTGTGAAATTAATTGTGATGAGTGACATTCATAATTAGGGAATTAAGCTCTAAATTCTTTTTGTTTTGACCATAGTCAACGTTCATGCAAGAGGGAGGGGAGGAGGAGAAGGAGAGATATCTATTTTATGGTTTTCTCTGAAAGAAGGTGTTCCAGGTGATTTAAGGATGATTGGTATATAAGAATATGTAGCACCTAAAATCTTTATGAATCATTTTCTTTGTTCATCTTCATGTATGGGTATGCTGTAGGAATCTTATGTCACTATTGGACGAAGGTTTGGTACCGAAAGTGTTGTTTCTACAAGGCCGTATCAAAACACACCCGAAGAGGATCTTGAAGGTCGCACCAAAGTGTACAGGAATAGGTGCTTATGTCAAATTCTTGTAAAAGCTAGAAAAGAAATTATATAGACCGTACCAAGGCCCCCATACGATCTGTAAGAAGGAAGGTGTAGACCATACCACCTCCCGTGCACCAATGGATTTTGGTGGTCTACTGCACAGTTGTTGGATTATGTGTCTAAGCTCATAACTACAATTGATATACTCTTGAATTGATAGGAGCACAGTCCTTTTGGGTTGCCCTCAAACCTAACAACTCCAGAACCTTCCAACCCTAGGGATGGACGGTTTTGAGGGGATATTCTAGGGTTTCTAGAATATCTCATGTGCCTAAAGAAGGAATGCGATAAATACCAGATTTAAAATATTAATTTAATATTTAAATCAGGGTTATCTAGGGTTTCATGTGCCACTATATAAAGACCCTTATGCCTCTTATTTCCGGCCACTCCTTCTCCTTAAGAGATAGCCAAAAATTCTAATCTCCCTTCTCCTCTCTCTTAAGCCTCCTCCTTGCTAGCTTGGGTGTGAACCATTAGAGACACGACAATTATGGTGTTTGCTTCCAAGAGAACTACAAAAAAGAAATTCTTGTTATTTACTATAATAACAATAAGTTATGTAATCATGAACCCTTTCTTATGATTTGCGAAAATAGAATAGGGTTTCTAGGGTTTCTTGTTGTATGTTCATAGTTATAGGTTCAATAGTGAAAACATAGATCCTTTAGGTTGCATGTGAACTTAAGGGTTTTAAGTTTATTTGTTTTACCTAAATTCTATCAACAGTCATGTGTGACAATTGCTACATACTATACAACTTGAAGCATGTCCATACAACTTATATGAGACTTTATACATAACGTACTAAGTGGATTGAAAATTTGATATGTCCAACTAAATAGCTAAAAGATGGAGATTTTAGTATTTGGCTTCATTTTTCATTCCAAGAGTGTTTGCAACTGTGCAAGGCGCGATTTTGAAGCATATAAGGTTTTTATATCAGTTGGAAGAGGATTCTAATTCTTCTTGTTTGAATTGACATATCGAATTCAAGGTAACCGACCTAATCTCTCTTTTGATAATGTTTGTAAATTAAACCTTGTGCCTTCTCATTAGATTGATAACATAGTTATATAAAAGCTACAATGTACCTAAGGAAACATTGCCTAACAAATAATTTCCAAATCTAATACAAATACTTATAGAATAATAATATGTCTAATACACCCCCTCATTAAGCAACATGATTGATCAGGCCATCTCTGAAGTCTTTAAAAAGAAATTATGGGTAGTCCCTTGGTAAATATATCAAAAATTTGTTATCTTGAGGGAACATGGAAGACTCGAACCTGACCTTTATCAACAAAATCATGAAAAAAATATCGAGTTCAATATGATTTGTATGTTGGTATTGAATTGGATTTCTAGAAAAATAAACTACATTTACATTATCACATAAATAAGAGTAGCTTTGTTAATTGGTAGGTAAAGCTTTAGAAGTAAATTTTGGATCTAGTAAGTATCTTAAACGACATTAAAAATGCCACCATTTTTGGCCTCTACACTAGGTTGATGCTTAGATGACCAAGAAATAATATTGTTACCAAGAAAGACACACCCAATCAACATCTATATAAACAATCAACCGTTTGGATGAAGTGTTGTATAGTATGTGGCCAAAATCAAGAGTAACTTGTATGTATCAGAGAATTTGTTTGAGGGTAGTCACATGAAGGTCTCTAGGGACATGCATGGTAAGACATATTTGTTGGACGACATAGGAGATGTCAATACGCGTAAATGTAAGATATTGAAGAGCACCCGCAAGGCTATGATAAATAGTAGGATCATGCTATGGAGGGTCGCCAGTGGCACTAACTTTGCCTTTGTTGCCGATTGGATTATTAATCGGTTTGTAAGATGACATGTACACACATTCCAAAACTTCAATATTATATTTCTTTTGATATAAAAACAATCCATTTTGATGTCGAGAAACAGTAATACCTAGAAAATAGCTGAGAGGCCTATGGTCCTTCATTGCAAACTCAATTTTCAAGTTTTGCCATGGTGCTATTGTGAAGATGTAATAATAATAATAATGTATACATATAGAAAAATGTTAGCAGTATTTGTGCCATGTCGAAAAATAAACAATAAGTGATCTAATTTTATGTGTAAAACCAAGTATGGAAACGTAATCCATAAAATGTTGGTATCATGCCCGAGGCACTTGTTTAAACCATATAATGACTTTTTGAGTAAGCATATAACAGGATGAAGAAAACCCATAGGTTGGAGCATATAAATGTTTCATGAAGCTTTCCATGCAAAAAGTGTTTTTGACATCTAATTGGTGAATATTCCAAGATAAAGAAGCATCAATGCTAATAGTGGAGCGAATAGTGGTCGGTTTAACAACCAGATTTTGTTGGGCCATAGTATATAAAAATATTTCGAGAATAAACAAGAAACTTTTAATGGAAGCGATATAAATATCACTATATGTGACACCCGTTTTAGGTATGATCTCATCCATCCTAATGTAAGTCTTCATTCTGGGTGGTCACGACATGGTGGAGCCTCACCACGACGTGGAAACATTTTCAAAGATTATGGGATTTAAAAGACCCGCCATGGTGTGGCCATATGTGCCACAATGTGGAAGATAATTTTAATGAAACCCTAATTTGCGGGTTTTACGCCCTATGTAAAGGAATTAGGAGGCTAGGGTTTATTCATCATCAGCCTCCATCACTCTCAAACCCTCAAAAATCCTAATCCTGTAACATCCGGATTTCCAGGTATTATGTTTGATCACTTATTTATGAGTAAAAGAGAGGGACTCGACGAGTTGAGGCGTAGACTCGTCGAGTAGGACCGCGATGCTGACTGGATTAATGAACGGACTCGACGAGTTGGAAAGGGTGGACTCGACGATTCCGCGCTGTAAATTGAAACCCTAATTCTCGGGGTCTGTGCTGTATTTAAAGGCCTTTATGGCCTCCTTATGTGCCCACTTCACCCCTGAGAAACCCTGGAGAGCAGAGAGATCGTTTGTGGTGCAAGAGGAAGGCTAATTCACCATTTCTTGTGTGTTTTAGCAAGAAGGAAGGAGGTAGAACAAGCTAGGTGGATTGAGGAGCTTGGATCCACTTCTATTTGATCAGAGGAAGCTGTTGGAGGTATCAATCTGTGCCATTCTCGTGTTTATTATGATTGTAGTGAAATCTAGGGTTTTCTTTATGCCTCTTTTAGTTGAATCTTGTGTATGTGAGGTCCCAAGGCGAGTTGGTTTATATATCTGGACCTTAAGAGGTCCAGAGAGTCCTTACCACTCTGCTTTATGCCATACCTTTTGAGTTATGA